GGCGACTCCGAGAACCTCGAGGAGTTGAAGTATGATCCAGCCGACGGCCGCTACCGCCGCGGGCTAGAAGGGAAGAAACTCCTCTGGGGCGCCTCGAACGCTGGCCCGCTGCGCCATGGGCTTGAGAGTGGCCGCACGCGGGAGCAGACCCGGGAGATGCAAGGTACCGGGGAGGTGCCGGGGCCCAGGGAAACACCGGACCCGGAAGAGGCACTGCTGGCGACCATCCTGGAAACTGGCGGGACGGGGATTGTTGAGGACTACATCTGCAACTCGCTTGTGAAGGAGCAGTGGGACGTGGAGTAGACACGCTGTATGGAGGAGATGTACAGGCGCAAGACGCAGGAGGTGTTGGACCCGCAACAGCAGGCGTTCGGGGCCGAGGTCGACGCCAGCGGGTTTTCGCAACCACTCCCAGACCCACAGCTAAGACCGACGAGAGATGACGAGCCCGCGGTGGATAAGCCTGTGAGGGAGGCGATCGGATGCCTGATGTGGACGAAGCTGACGAGGCCAGCGATCGCCCTGCCTCTGAACAAGCTCCAGAAGATCGCTCACACACCCACCGGGAGGATATGGAACGCGCTTGTGCGGAACATGTCCTACCTGAAGTTCACGAAGGACTTCGGCATCACCTACCTACGGGGGTCAGGACTAGACCTAAGCGTGTTTGTCGATGCCAGCTACGCTGACAACGAAGTNCGATCGCCCTGCCTCTGACAAGCTCCAGAAGATCGCCCACTCACCCACCGGGAGGATATGGAACGCGCATACGTACGGTGGTCAGGACTAGACCTAAGCGTGTTTGTCGATGCCAGCTACGCTGACAACGAAGTAGACAGGCGTTCTACGACCGGGCTAGCTGTGACGGTAGGTGGTACCGTAGTGTGTGCATCCACCGAGACGCAGCCAGTGACGGCTCAGTCAACCTCGCAAGCAGAGTATATGGCAGCCGCGGAGGGCGTGAAGGAGGCGTTGTTTGTGCGTGGCGTTCTGTCTTTCATAGCGCCCGAGACGAGTGGGACGAAGATCAAGGTCCTTGAGGACAACAAGGGGGCTCTCGCCTTAATCGAGANATTTGTGCGTGGCGTTCTGTCGTTCATAGCGCCCAAGACAAGTGGGGCGAAGATCAAGGTCCTAGAGGGCAACAAGGGGGCTCTCGCCATAATCGAGAACCCGTTCAGCTCAGCGAGGAGCAAGCACATCGACGTGCGGTTCCATTTCATTCGCGAGCTATTCAAGTCGGGCAAGATCTGCAGAATACGTTCCGACTGGAGAGCAGCACGCCAACATGCTGACCAAGGTCCTTGGCAGAGAAGTTGTACCACCAGAAGGCTCTGATGAACCTACCGATGTAGTAGTGTGCTCTTGTTCTGTTTGGTTTATTTGGTGGTTTTAGCACTTGGCATATATGACCATGGTAGGTCACGCAGGAAGCGTTGTGCCGGCGCGTCACCCGCGGCTGGAGCCTAGAAACGCCGAGAGCGTTGCTTCGGGTGTGTAATCAGCGTGACCGGTTCAATCTGTCCTGCCTTGGTCTTGTCTTGGAAGTGCGGCCGTTGGAATCCTCCGTGATAGCGACGGTTTTCTCTGTTTTGGGTGCTAGACGAGGGTTTTTGATCCGGTTGGCCGGGTATTCCCTCGAGCCTGTTGTTGTTGAGTCCCTTTGGTAGATCAGGGGTATCCATGCCCCACGTTAGGTTTGCCATTCGCGTCCAAACCGGGGTGGGTGTTCGTGTGTTTGGATACGGACTGGTTAGATCTACCGGCAACAACAGAGGGCACACAGATGGGGCATATGTACACCTTAAAATGGTTGCATGTGCGGGGACCCCTCCAAAGAGGGCTTCACTTCTCCCTACTCCCCTTGCGTGTCTAATACAAGAGATGAAACGTCTTCCCCGTCCAAGTAAAGGGCATATTCGAACAGAAGGTTCCGGAAATTTCCAGAAGGTTTCCAGAAGCTACACACGTTCTACGTAGATGTCCCGGTCGACCTTGACCTAGCATGCTTCCGAAATATTTCTAGAACAAGAGGGTCTCCGGGGTATTGGCCCGAGTACCGGAATTTCGGGGTTCGGAACAATAAAACGACTACAGTCTCGCCTGCCAATTTATCTCCGCCACAACTCTGTGCTCATTTTCTGCTAAGTACCATCTCTTCTTTCTGTAGTATTTCTACGGAAGGCTAGTTGCCGCAGTCGCACCTATGGTAAGCTGGGCCTGAATACGTTGTACAGTTTTCCTTGACACGTTGCTGAATAGGAAATTCGTCAATAATGTTTGACACAACGAGCCTCCCTCCGCTGTTAAATCTGGATTTTTTTTCCTTACTATGGATTCTGGCGAGACTGTCGGGAAGGATCCTCAGAACGACGCTTATATCAAAATACATATATTTCCTTAGTTCGGGGAATTTTTGAGTCCGTGTAGGAAAATGCAACTCCAATACAAACACAGAAAGACTCTATGCACCGGTTCGAGATAATAAGCACAGTCGAATGGGATGTGTTGGAGTCTTTGCAATGATCATCCTAAGAGATATGTTACTATGTAGGGACGTCGTGGTCAAACGTCGTCACAGTAGTAGGTGTATGTAGTGCGGGTACAATTTTGTCGATCTCCACGCACACATTGCGTGCTAACTCACACGCGATTGTAGACAATACCTTCACCTACGACGTGAAAAAATCATAGGTGTAGTCCGTGATATTCTCGCCTGAGACCCGCTGGCCTTCCGCTGCGTCTTGGCGATGACGAAATGTTCAGCACACACACGTCGTGACGCGCGACACACACACAAGTTTCATTGGTTAGCCGGTTAGCGCGGTCGATGCTAATAATAAAACACACACGGTTGCCTTGGTAGACGTGTGCAGTATACTCTGTTGCCACCATTTTGGTGTTTGATCTGAAGGATAGATTAGCCTCCCCCATGCTGCCCCCTCACGGGGTCCCAGATCATGGCAGATAGAAGTGTCTTGTGTTTTCAACCGCATTAAGACTGACGTATCATTGGTCAGCCGTTAGCGCGGTCGATGCTCATAATAAAGACACACACGGTTAGCGCTGTCGATGCGAATAAAAAAACACCGTATTTGTGCGTGTTATGGCACCCATCGCTGATTTCGCACTCATCGGTGCTGTGGCACCGGGGTGCGCAGAAATATCGAGAACGGCCTGATTTGATTGCATTTCCGCGCCGGAATCGGTGTTAACGCACCTGGTGCGATATCGGCGATATATAACCTGCTTAGGACCGAAACTTGCGTGCTTCCGCAACGTACCCGTAGCCTCTGGCCACGTGTCGGACTGTACATAACGAATCGCTGAGAGGGTCCGGTAGGTTTGCTATTCCTTTCATGTGTGTATATCGTACCGTCGATGTGTGCAGTATCAATGGTTCGTGTTTTTTTTTCTACTTTAGTCCGTACATCGAATGCACTCACTCACTCAGCCACGCATACACAACCATCCCGCACCCCCAACCGACGCAACAAGAAGGTGGTCGTTAACGGTACTACAATCACCGGTACCATGCCCCTTGAAGCAGACAAACATAGATGCAAACACCAGGCAGGGAACAAATGAGGGGCTTGCGACGGACGAAAAGGTTGAAAGAAAAACGATACCGTGCCATATATCTTTCCCAGCAGGGAGCCACAGAGTCTATTGTCTTGGGCACGCTACCCCAAACTCGCATCAACCGCTTCATTTGAAGTACCGTAATACGCACACTTCCGGTACTTTGTACCAGGAAACGCCTGTGGTCGTTTCTTGAGCATCGGTGATCGCACCGGGGTGCGTTCACTCAGCAACGTGAAACGGCCGCGGTAATTTATTCCGCATCGCACCCATCGGTGTCATCGCACCGGGGATGGGTGCGATGGAAGTCTAGAACAACATGATTTGATTGCATTTCCGCACCGGTATCGGTGTTATGGGACCCATCAGTGGCACCGAGTTGCGATAAAAAAACAGGATAGTATGAGACTGTTGTCTCCAGGTTCGCGTGTGAGCAAGTTCCCTTAGGGATGGGCGGTGTGGATACACACCGGATCAACCTCTGGTGGAGAGGCTGATGTACGGAACTTTGAGTCGAGTCTGTGTGAGTGCGGCAGGTGGGGATCAACCTTGTGTTGAAGCAAGGTTCAGCATCCCACCTGCACTGACTCTATCTGTGGTAACACCCCGAAGGTAGATCTCCGACAGGTCATCTGACGTCACAATCTACGACGGTCTGAGGTGGCATTCACAAAAGGAATCATTTAAACAACGATCGCACCCCAGTGGCGTAACACGCACAATTACGGTATGTACATACATTTATTTTCACGCAAGTTTTTTTTGCTGCGGATGATGTCGGATGCCCAATGACTCGCACCGGCCTTCTAGACAGATATAACGTTTGATTCCAATCCCTGAATACGACCGAGAGACTTACCTCTGTGCCTGCATCCACTCTACTGTTCGCAGCTCGCACGATATCTCCCGTTTCCATGTGACACCACAACGATCGGACGAGCCTGTTGTATCCCGATACGATTCGCACTTGAAAAACTTGTCGGATTTCGGAGATTTCGGAGAACATTTCTGTACAGTAGAAAAACTGTTCGATGCCATATTTTCTTTTCGACCTCCCCACGGATACAGGCCATGGGTTCGAGTCCCGACAGAGTTTTTTCTCGCTAATTATATCCTGGGCTTCGTTGGAAGCGACGTGCTGCAAAGCTCGTTGTAAGTAAACTTGATCGACTTCATAAGTCGCGAGGAAAGGGATTGCTGTACCCTTCTCGCGATAAAAATATCTCCGGCAGGAACCGCAGGAGGGGGTCCAACCCCCCCGTCCCATGTGACCCCGGTTTGGTCGTCTAGCTGGTAGACGTGGAGGAGAGGGGCCAGAGGGACAGACGACAGAGAACAGGGTTTTCGCACGATTGAGAGCGAAGTTTCCGATTGAGAGCGAGAACCAAAAAAGTTCGAAATTCGGGTCCAGACGCCTCCCGTCATTTCTCGGGAAACAGGGGACGGGCTCTTCCAAAAAGCGGCGCAAATTGAAGCTCTCTTCAGCAGCTTCGCGTGCATGCGTGTCACTGCGATCGGCTGCAGCAGCGAGAAGCTACGCACGTTGCTAGATTCCCCCAGATTGGCTATTCCTGCCCGGAACTGTTTCAGGGCGCCGTCGCCTGGCGCGGTAGACCCTCCCGTAGCTTCTGCTCCGCGGTGTAGCTCCACAACGCGAGACACCCGCAGGATGACCCGGGTATCGGCTTGTAGCTATGGGCAAGAAGCCCTTCAATTCAAGCCGCACAGCAAGCTCTACCTCTCAGCAGTAGACAAGCTACATCGTATCGGACGATCTCGCTCTCAATCAGATACTTCGCTCTCAATCGTGCGAATATGTCGTTAGAGTCCAATGATGGAAGAAAAAATACAAAAAAACAGACCTCTACGCCGATTGTACATACAAAAAACACCTCGTTTTGACCCTTTCTTTATTCCACCAGGTCCTACAACCTGTGACCATCTACTGCTGCTGTCTTGAGACGACGACAGCTTTCACACGCAAGTTTTTTTTGTTTTCACTTTAAATCAGCGCTCACAGCACTATGGCCGTATACTCCAACGCTCACAAGCAAGTACATCCGATTTTTTTGTCCAATAGACTATCTATCTGCCATACGCGCATGCATGTGGATTCCGACAAGTTTGATCCAGCAAACAACGCGATATGTTTAGACGTCGGTGTCAACAACTCATCATCAGACAGAAAATCCTCTGGACGTCGCTCTACCTCTACGGAAACCACAGCCTTCGCCTACCTAGACTCTGCAGGAAATTATGCATCCAATCCATCGACTTCGATTCACCAACAAGCAAATGTTTACCGTCAGCGTGCACAACGCACCGTCCGACAGTGCAAATTTCCGGACACGCACATCGCGGTAACTCTACGGGAGCCAACAATCTACAGCTAGCTGCACTGAGTGAAGTATTGCACCCGCCGAACATGTGCGTCTACCATTCTTTGTGGATTTAGACTACAGCGTGTGCACAACTTCACGACGCCACACAGTCTTTTTGCGCTACTAAAACAACTGTGTTGTACATGTGTGTTCGTCGAATGCATTATTTCTCATTTTCTTGAGCGATCGCACGCTTCCGCGACGTCACTACATCTTTTCACCACTGCCGCATGTATGCCTCGCACTGAAATTGTGTTACACGTGCATGTATTTTTGTAGAAACTTTTGTTGTATTTGTCGTAGTACATGGAAAGTACCCCGACTCGTCCATCACGTGCATGACTTCCTGTCCAATGGCCGAATTGTTCGTGCCCCGCCGCCCTCACGGCGGGGGGGGGGGCTAA